CTAATTCCTCTCCTTCCCAGCACCTTGGCCTCCTGGTGTTTCTTGGCCAAGCAGCAGGCCATAGCCTCGGTGACCTCACACCTTCCCACTAATCTCCACATGACATGCTTGTTCATGCTTTTGCCTCTAATAAAGTCACTTCCTCAAGGAGCTACTCTGTCTATCCTATTTAAAATGTTAGTGACCCTTACCTGTATCTTCCTCCCCCTTTTATTTTTAATTCTTAGCACTTACATTTTCCAGAATGCATTTCCAATATACTATGTAGTTTCCAATTATAGCGCACAGGCACAGTTACCCTTTCTGTAATCTGCTTTTTCTCTAGAATGTAAGCTCATGAGAACAGGGATTTCTGCCCACTTTGCTCTTGGCATGCTCAATAAATATTTGTTGAATGAATGGATGGTAGCTTAGGGGACTAGCACAGGAGTGAAGAAGAATATAAGAGACATAGAAATTCTGCCCCTGCCTATAGTTGTTTCTCATCTGGGTAGGGGAAACTCCTGTACCCCACTCTCCTCATCTCCCATGCTCTGAAGATGGAAACTCCTTGACGTATGTCCTGATAGTTTTGATGTCATAAAGAGCTCCTTACACCTGAGTGTCACTCATTCAGTAGAAGATTATTAACATTTTTAGAGTTTTGCTTTTTTTTTTTAGAGCAATTATAATAAAATGAAAATCAATAAGCAACTATAGACAAGAGACATTCTATAGGGGTGGAGAGGGGAATAGGCTCAAAACTGGGCCAAGAAGAGCACACAGGACTATGATGATGGTACATGGGTGAACTGTGGATGGGAAGTCATGGGGATTACAACCAAGGTGAAAAAAATATACAAAATGAAGACAGATGTTTCAATTATACACACACACACACATATATACACATACACACATACACAATTACTGTATATATAAAATTATTGTATATATTGCATATTATAATATATACATACACTATATATATGTACATATATATATACAATTTAAAAAAATAAAGAGCTTAATCTACGGGTTCTTAGATTAGTTTGCCAGACTCTGAGAAAGTAACAAAAATGAATAAAACTACTCCCAAACTCAGAACCGTCTAGTCAAGCTCAACTTAGCATAGGAGACTGAGGAAGAATGATTGACACCTCTAGGCTTCAATTCACTGAGTGACTTTAGCATATCTCCAGGCTTTAGTTTTCCACCTACAAAATGGACAGCAATAAAGACAATATATTTGCATATATAGCAAACTGGCCCAAAGGTTAATGACTTAGAGCAATAAACATTTATTATCCCTTATAATATTATGGGTTATCCTTTAATCCTTTTGGTTCTTGTCTAACCCAATGGACTTAGTGGATACTGGGGGGGTGGGTGGTGTAGGATGATCTTGCTCACAGGTCTGGTGGGAAGATGTTGGTCTCTGCCTCATGTAGTTCCTCATCCTCCAGATCTCTGCAGACTAGTCTGGGCTCTTCGCACAGAGAATTCAGTAGCAAAAAAGTAGCAAAAAAGGGCCAAGTCCCAGTGCACAGTCACCTCTCTAGCTTTTGTTGTGCCATGTTTGCGAATGTTCCAATGGCCAATGTCATCTACAAGGTCAAGTTCAGATTCAAGGCATGGAAGGAGCATTCCATTTCTTGATGGGAGGAATAGTAAAAACACGTTGCAAAAGGGCATGTACACAGGCAGAGAGAAACTTGCAGCTAGTGTTTTGCGGGCTGTTTTGTTTTGTTTTTGCTCCCTACCTCAATCATGTTTGCCTGGGGCAGAATTTCTTATAAATATATATTGCGGCTGCCAAGAAGACCTTCAGTCATGGGGAATAACTGACACAGACCCAGCTGCTTGCTCCATTACTGCTGTACTGAAACCCACCAGTGTGATACCACGAGGCTAAGTGCCAATGACTGGGTATGGCAGATACTAAGGCAGACCCATTTCTGTCCTTTGACAGTTGACTTTGGCTTCAGTGCTCAAAGCCAAACTTACAGTCTACAAACTTATGTAGAGTGCACGGTAGGTCAGATCACTTCACACCCTTCTTTCCTCTCTCCCGTACTCTGGTCAGACTGGTATCATGGTCTTATGACTTCCCCAGCTTCTCCAGCTCTCTCCCCATCTGTCCCTATTTCCCTGAATAAAAGCCTTGCACATTTAATCCTGTCTTTGCATCTTGTTCTGGGAGCATCCAGATTAACCCGTGTTCAATTCTCTAATCCTTTATCACATGTCCTTTCTCCGCAACCAAATTATGCTCCTGTCTGCATTCCATACCATTGCTTAGTGGGCTCTGGAGTCAGCAAAAACAGAGCAAGGCTGACAACTATGATGGCCTTGGGCTGCTGAGGACAGCTGGGCTTGCTTCCTGGAAGGGAGTTTATCTGACAGGCATCACTGAATCTCCATGAGGTCTCCTGGACAAAGGTCGCCTCTTGGTTTCAGTGGGATTGGAGTATAAGCAGATCCATTCCTTTTTTGATTGTACAATGTCAGCTTTTATTCACACACACACTTAAAATAGAAACCACGTAGTAAACGGCAACTCCATGCTATATCATATTGAGCATTTTAAAAACACTACCTCTAATTAATTCTCTCCAAGAGGTTCATATCCTTGTATCTAATTTACCAGTGAAGAAAGGATGGTTGTGAATGGTTTTAACACCTGTCCAAGAAAGTTCATAAGTCTAGCACGATTCTCTATTGTCTGTGTTAGAATCACTGAGGATTTTAAGTTCCATCCATGAATCTTCAGGCTTGCAAACAGTCTGGGAAGCTAGGCCTTCTGCAGTAGCTTGGAGGTAGTATCATCCAGAGAATCCAGAAGCCAGACATTCCCCACAATGCAAAGGCCTGCAGAGCTGGCCCCTCGGGACTGCCTGGCGTATTCTTTTCATGTGAACATGTGACTTGGAAAGCCACTCCCCCTCATTCATCAACCCCTGCCTCAAAGGCAAGTTGCCCTGCTTCCAGCTATCTAACCAGTGACTCCTATATGTGCACAAAGGTGACTGGCTGGGTCTCATTTGGAATCTGAGAATGGCTATGCCCTTGCTCCCAAACAGCGCTTTCAGCTGAGCTGCCTGACAATCTACAACTAGAGCAGGGTCTGTCACCATACCTTTGATGCCTCATGGGGCCCTGGGCTCATGCATCATCAGCCTGGGAAAGTCAAGTAGGGATCCCAGGACATCCCAGCCTGTAGTCACTGCCTTTTCCAACTGGCGGGGTGCTGTTGCCTGCTGCAAGGAGCAAGTCAAGAGCCCCGAAGAAGGAATAAATACTCAGGACCTCAGGGCAAAAGTGGTCAGGCAGAACACCGCCAGAGACCAGGCAACACAGGTGCTGTTGTTTGGGCTGCTCTGACCTGCCTGTGCGTGCCTGTCTGGCATAGGAATGGAGGCTTAAAGATGGGAGGATGGGGGTGAGCTCCAAATCAGGGTTTTCCAGTCCCTGGAATAGACAAACGAGGCTGGATTTCTGGAGAAAAATTTCCATTTCCACTTCTGAGCCTGAGAGGAAGTAAGCTTTTTGTTGCAGCTCCTCATGGCTTTGTTTTCAAAGAATGATTGCGAGTTACTCTCTGGAAAAGTCCAGAGGAAGGAATTAAATGGTTAGAGTTCCCTTTAGTAATAAATACAATTAGTCCAGTTAGTGGCTAGCACTGACCTTCAGAGCTAATTCAGAAAGATTAGCAAGAGCAGGACTCTGCATGGGCTTTCCTGGGCTGTCCTGGACATTTAAAATGTGGTTTTGCTAGAGGATATGGCGAGCAGTCTGCAAGCTGTCACCACACACAGCAGGGGTCTCTGGACTTCAGGAACCCCAACAGGCACTTTACAGAATGCACAGAAGGGAAGAAACTGACAAGCCAGGCTGGACAGCACTGTCCTTTCCAGTCGTGCACACCTAGAGTTCTTCTCAGTTCTTACTCCCATCTCCCACTTCTCAGGGGAGAGCAAGTGGGCCCAGAAGGAAAGAACATAAAGATGGGAATTCCCCAGCTGTCGGAAGCCACCCAAGAGAGCTAGCATAGACTGAGATTTTCAAAGAAAGCAGAGGTGTAGCGCTATACATCATCTCTGCTCCATCCCCAGGGCTCACACCTCTCTTCACAGGGAGGGGTTTAACTGATGTGCAATGGTGGGGAAATCATCTCCTAACTACCCACAACAAACACCTCCCCACCACCACCACCAACAGAATCGAGAACATAAATGCTTACAGTTGGAAATGAGAAGTTAATGCATGATCAAGGGTGTCACTGACTATATTGGGATCTCTAAGGGAAGCAGTTGGCAAATTAGGATAATTCTAGGAGAGTAAAGTAACATTACAATGGTGTGCACAGAGAATATGAAAATACCTCAGGGGAGGAAAAATGAAACTCCTTACTATCTGGACCTGGAGGAATTAGTAGAAGGAGCAGTTTCTGGAGCCCGAACACCAGGAAAAAAGAGAACTGTGTGGAGACTTTGCTTTATAGGATCTGACACCTTCAAGAGGTGGAGCCACACATTCAGCTGAAAGGAACCCCATAGGGCTAAATATCTTACTTCACGCTCCCCTGTTCCTTCCAGGGCTTCCCATGGCCCAACCTGATGCTTCAGGGCAAGGGAAGCAGTTGGTGTTCTTACAGTCTCTGGGACCCAGGGCAGGTTACAGGAGGCTGGAGGATACCAGAAGGGGCAAGAGATTGTGTCGAGAACTGGGTTTAACCGTCAGAATCAAGGGTTCAAGGCCACATTATGCCTGGAGAATAGGGAAACATTGCTTACCCTGGACAATCTTTGTCTAGGGTGCTTTGTCCTTTGCAAGACCATGCTAAGTATTGTTGTGAGGTCCCAAGTTACCAAAAGTCAATGTGCATGGCCCTCCCGGGTGATGCAATGGGTTAGGATGTAGCACTGCAAGCTGCTGGCAGCCGCTTCAGTCTGAGTTCAATCCCCACCCTGGAGGTGACTCACATGGTGCAGCAGGTCTCTCCTGACCTGCCCACTGTTCCCCTCAGCAGTGTACTTCATAGATCTGCCTGTTCTTCTCCCCACTCTGTCTCTGGTGAAGCCTCTCACTGCCCCTGTATCTCTGGCCTGTACCCCAGTTCTGTATGCATAAATAAATAATTCTTAAAAAAAAAGTCAATGTGCAAATCAGGCAAAGATAAACTTACAATGAGACTCTCTCCATGGGGACACATGAGACCTACTCTGAAGAGGCCCACTCTGGTCTTCAGCCAGCTCCAGATGCTCTCCAGGGCTCTCTTGGCAAGAGTCCCTGAAAGGCAACCTTCTGGCCCCCAGGAAAAGCCCCCCAAAACTCCCAGGAAACTGGAAACTAGCTATTATGAACCCCGGATAAAACTAAGCTGGGAATTACTGACCTTATAGCATTTAGAGAAAACTGTTAGTAGAAAGGCAGTAATGTTTTTTAAAAAGGTATATGAGCCTGGAATAACAAAAGATTTAATTTTATAATTACAGTGAATTGGTTGTAGGACAAAGAACAGGTCAAAATATACAAGATAACTTGCATCCCACTTGTATCTATGTTTCCCCCTTTTCCTGTTGCCTTTTGTTCACATGCAATTCAGTTGTGTAAGGTGAATTAGATGCTTTGTTTTGTTTTAAGTAAATACTTGGTTTGATTTATTCATATTACTGGTGGAGTGTTTCTCTGGGAGCTCCTAGTTACTAATCCTAAGTCTCAAGCATCTATTATAACTGCTAACTAACAACACTGTCTTGCCACTGGTGGCAATAAATAAAGAAAAGGTACAGCCCAGAGAGAGTCTAACAAGTCCCTGTGGTCCTTTTCACCAACAGAGATGAACATGTTATAGAAAGGAGTAAAATGAAAAATATTTTTTAACTGAGTAGGAAACTGTAGAAGAAAGAACAATGACGAAAGAAAATGAAAGACAGAGAAGAAAAAAGGATGATTCAAGGGAAGCCTATCCATTAAATCAGACAGTTCCAGCCTACTTATTTTAGTGAGCCATTTCCCCAAATGCTCATTATTTTTCAGTTTCTCCCAAGAATATACCACAGAAGCTACAGGGTTGTGAGCCACCAACGTGGTGAAACACTCAGCATGGTCTCAGAAGGTGAATACCTGAATGTGAACTTGGTGCAAGCAGAAGGGTTGTCGTTGATGTCTTCTACAAGGAAGGTTATCTGTATACGATTCTCCTGACCCCCAAAGGGTCTATCCTTCACCAGAACTTCCAAGGTAATGGCAGGATGTTGTCTTAATTCACCTGCATCTCGGTCTAGCCTGTGAGCCACGTGGATGGTACCAGTCACTAAGAAGACAAAGGTTAGAACATGCTTCTTTGAAGAGAAATGAAAAAAAACAAAGGCAGCTGGAGACTTGGAGTACATGGGAAAGAACATTCTGGTACGAAGCTGGCTAACAGAATTTCCTATATAAATACACATATAAAAAAACTTTATGGAAGTTGGGGGCCTGACTGTTGGCTGCTGGTTAAGTCTCAGAGCTATCACCTCTGTGACCAGGGAGCTAACCCTCATATGGCACAGCAGATCTCTCTTGTCTTGCCTGCTGCTCCCTACAGCAGTGTATTTCAGTAGATCTGCCTGTTCTGCTCCCCACTCTGGTCAGTCCTCTCAGCACCCAGCATCCCTGGTCTACATCCCAGTTCTTCTATGCAAAAAATAAATAAATAAATAAATATATTTTTAAAAAAATTCATGGGGTATGTTTATTGCTGTTTTATTTACAGTAGGAAAGACATGGAATCAACTCAAATGCCCAAAAGTAGATGACTAGATTAATAATAATAATAATGAAATATTACTCAGCAAAAGATAAAAACATGCCTTTTGCAGCAACATGGATGGAGCTGGAAGGGATCATGCTTAGTAAAATAAACCAGAAAGAAAAGGAAAAATACCAGATGATTTCACTCATAGCAGGAGTATAAAGGACTAGGGAATAAAATAATAATGAACAACTATATACTAAGAGACATTTTACAGGGGTGGAGTGGGGAATGGGATCAAAAATGAGTGGGGTGGGGGGAGTGCACTGGACTGTGGTGATGGCACATGGGTGAACTGGTGGTGGGAAGCCCATGGGGATTACAACTGAGATGGAAAAAGGCACAAAAAATGTAAAAATAAACTATTATATTATTTTAAAAAATTCACGGTGTTCTTGTAGTAGACAGTGATTGGGATGTTTGGCCTGACCTTTGAACTTTCCACCACAACCTTCAGGGTTGGTTCCCTAGCAGCAGCCCTCCCCATGAGCTGAACGGACAATAGGCAGCTTACCCCCTCTTGACCCACTGGGTTCTCTCTGGGGAGTGTAACAGCAGAGCTACCACAGGCAAGGTCGAGGTCATTGGACCATGCTACTCCCACCCCTGAGAACAACCCTAACAGTTCTCCTTCTCATGAGAACCAGTGGCCTGTTGGTAGGTATCTGCTACCTTTTATTTTCTCCTTGGTTTAGATTGCTTTGGTTTCTGTAATTTGCAACCAAAGAGTCCTAATCAATCTGCTCCCAAAATCCATTGTATTTGTTAAAAATTCAGTCTGTAGGCCCTCTCTGGTGGTGCAGCAGGTTAAAGCACAGCACTGAGAAACTAAAGCCACTTCAGCATGAGTTCAATCCCCAGCCCTGGAGGTGACCCACATGGTGCAGCAGACCTCTCCTGACCCGCCCGCTGCTCCCCTCAGCAGTGTACTTCATCAGTCGTCCTGTTCTGCCCCTGCACCTCTGACCTGTACCCTGGTTCTGTATGTATAAATAGATAAATCTTTAAAAAAAACTTCAATCTGCAGTACTCGAGTAAAGAGAACCCTTCACGGTGGCTGTCCATCCCTACACTATCAGCTGGGTCCTCAAAGCACTAGAAGTTTTCAGAGGTGGTGCATCATGACTGTCCTGGGAAGAGGTGCTCTTGACCCCAAAGCTATGGGGACAATAACATGCTCTCTTTCAGGACTGTCCAAGGCTAGCCCCCACTCAAGCACTGTGTAGCGTGAAGTCCTCTTTGGTGATATGAGAGGATTACGAGGTGGTACAGTCTAGGAGAAGAGAGGGCTGGAGTTGCTTCATATCCTCTGAATTGATAAATCACTTACCCTGTAAAGTCTCTCTCCAAGCCTCGGTTTCCTCATCTGTACAATGTGGGTTATGGTAGGTCATTGGGTTGCTGTGCTATAGCCAGAGGGACTGCAGCTGAGCCAATGAGCACTGTGCCTGGCCTACACTGCATCCTAAGGAAATGTGATTATAAGAGAAGGAAAAACTCTCCTTCCCTACACTGAGATACTTAGATGGAAGAAAACACCCAGCAATCTAGCAGATCAATGTTCTTCAGAACCATGACCACTAACCAGATGAGGCTATTAACGCTGGAAATATGGCTGACCTGAATTCAAAGGTGATACAGAATACACAACAAACCTTGAAAATGTCATATAGAAATGTAAACTATCTCATTAATAACTAAAATGTTGATCACAGGGTAATATGATAATTTCTGGATATGTTGGGTTCAATAAAGTACCTTATCAAACTGAATTTCACCTGTTTCTACTTTGTAACAGCTTAGCTACTGGAGCTTTAAAATCATGTATGTGACTGTGTTCTATTTCTACTGGATAGTACGCGCTGCAGAAGACTTGGGATGCCCTCAGGACAGTGAGCTCATCCATCCTTACATCTGCTTCAAAGGCGAAGGATGATACAGCTGTCCACGCTGGATCCCGGTCAGTGTGCCCAACCCCCATGCCAGCTGCTATGAATATGGCTCTTTCCTTGGTAATTTGCAATGCTCAGGGCAGAAGGGCATACCCCAGACAGGAAACTATTAACATATTTGTAAAACAGTACAAATGAATTAAAGGATGCATGTAAAGGGTGTGTGTGTGTCTGTGTGACTTACTCTGATTGATCATGAAATATCTGTTAACAGTAGTGATGCTGTAGAGGAGGATGTTGGTAAAAGCTTTGTCATCCGGGTCCTCAGCTGTGATATTGGCCACAATGGTTCCTGGACTCAGCTCCTCAGGAATTCTATACACTCGCTTTGAGCTGGAACAGAAATACAGCAGACACAGCTAATTTTCGAGGGCACAGGAGGGTGGAGTCTGGGAGGTGGGTATTTTGGTTAGTACTAAATATAGTTCTGAATTGTCAAAGTTACAACATGCTGGGAGTGAGAACTCCTCAGCTCAAGAGGGGGGCGGGTGGTGACTGGATTCTGTATTTCTAAAGAGCACATCCCTGTGATTGCGAAGAGTGTGCCATGCCGTTATCGCAATAATTTACACTAGCCACTGTCCCTGCCTCCATGCACTCCTGGTACCATTTCACTTCAGTTGTGGCATGAACATCTTTTAAATAAGGACAGTTGACCTATATAGCCCTCTTCTCTCCTCCTAATACTTTTTGTTCCCAGAGTTATTTTAAAAATCCATCTGGACACAATGTCCAGGACTATACATTCTTGATTACTATTCCTTGGCCACAAGAGTTGGATAAATGGCACTTAATCTAGTACCTCTGCTCACTTTTCCTTCCTTTCTTCTTCTCTGCCTGGCCTAAGGAGGCACAATATATGTACAGAAACTGTGCACCTCCTCACGTTGCATTATCATAGGTCAAAACCTAAGTGGAGAAATCACCTCCTTGGCAGAAGCCAGTCAGCCCACTGCCCTCTGAAGGGGCTTCACTCAAGGTGACTCCAAGTCACCATCTTACCCATCTTTCTCAGACCTCCTCTGCCTTTGTAAAAGGTTGATAATAAGACAGTTTCAAAGTTTTAACTACCTAATTTGGGTAAATTGAGTAATTATGAACGCACCAAGGAGGTTTTAAAATAACTTGCAGGAAGTCCTTTTGCTGAAGGTAATCAGTGGGACAAGGTGTCACCTTGAATTTGCCAATTTCTAAGTTAGGATTTTTCAAGATGGGATTCTCTTTAAGAGGGATTACTATACCATAAATCTAAAGGATTATATTTAATGCATGAGTTCAGAATACTTTTGCAACCAGGAATCTTTGCATCATCCCTGTAGAACAGGTAGGGCCAGGAGAAGGGAGAGGGAACTTCTGACTGGAACCAGGTTTCAGGGCCTCCACCCTGGCTCTCCTGTTTGGCCCCCATTCATCAGGAGGTATGCCTGTAGTTGCATCCCACCATTGGGGGCAGTCACTTGGTGAGGCAAGAGGCTACCCTCATGCTCTAAGTCTCTTCCCACCCAGCATCCTACTGAAGTGGCAGTGAATTCATTTACTAATCAGACACTCCCCTGCCTTGGGGAATCTGTGCTACTGGCCACTGGTGGGTGCAAGAATAGAAAAGTAGGTGGGAAAAAGGAGGCAGGATGGCAAAAGCCAAAATCAGAGCCATGAGAGAAAGGGAGACAGGCCTGGCTCCTAAGGCTGAACTAAGCCCTTGCGTCCATTGGGTAAAAGTCCCTGTTCTAGCAGGTTGTATTCTTTCTTTGGTTACTTTCTGTGGGTTCCATTAACTTCCAACCAAGAGAGCACTAAGGTGCCTGTGCTACCTTCAGGGCCTTGCCCTTGCTACCCCAGGCATGGTCCCTACACTTCTCACAGGCTCCCTTGATGTTGAATCTGAATGCAGAACTCACCCACTTCAGAATCAGGATCTGCATTTTCACAAGGTGTCAGGGGATTTGTGTGTACTTTAAAGTTGGAGAGCTATTATAAGGAATCCTTCTAAGGCAATGGTTCTCAGCTGGGGTTGATTATGTCCTGGAGACATTTTGGCTTTCACTGCCTGGCAAGGGAGTTATTATTGGCATCTAAAGTCCAGAGCTGGCCCTCCCTGGTGGTGCAATGGGTTGGGACGCAGCACTGCAAGCTAGCCTCAGCCACTTCAGTGCAGAGTTCGATCCCCACCCCGGGGGTGATCCTCACCAGACCTCTTCTGATCCTCCCGCTGCTTCCCTCAGCAGTGTACTTCGTTGATCTGCCTGCACTCCTCCCTGCTCTATCTCTGGTGAAGCCTCTCACCGCCCCTGCTATTAAACACCCTACAATGCACACAAAAGCCCCCCGCCCCAAACGCAAGGAAGCACCCACTCAAATGTCAGTAGTGCAGCTGTTGAAGACACCTGCTCTGCAGACTCACCCACTCCTATCACCTGTGTACCCAGGAAATCAGGGCTGCATGAAGGAGATGGGCCAGGCTACTGGTGTGAAACAGTCCTTCCTTGGCTGACCTGATACTGAGTCCCACAGATGATAAGATCTTTTGATGGAGGAAGGAATGCAGGGGAGGCATCACAAGACTGAGTCACACAGAGGGGATGGGTAGGAGGGGCTAGTGCAGCAACCGACACAGCCATAACATCAAGGTCAACCCGTGCCCGGGATGCCCCCGGGATGCCTGAATATCTGCAGGAGTTCCCAGCAGATAACAGACTGTTGGGGCTGTGTCCGAAGCTCAAATCAAAAAAGTGAATGATAAGGACGCGGACATGAAGGTCATCAGAAATTTCTTCAGAATCTATTCAAAGTCAATGAACTTGGGCTCACAGGGAGTGAGCCCCTCCCAGGGAGAGGCTGTCTATATCTGGGCAGTCTCTCCACCAGCACGAGGCAGCCACTCCTCTGCCCACCTGTGCCTATGCAGGTGCCTATACACCCACTCTCCCTCTGCAGGGCAGCAGCGTCCTGTCTGCCTGTGACCTGTACCATGCTGGCACTCCTCTGCACTGACCTCCCTCAGGGGGCCATTCTCCTAAGATCGTCCACCTGCAACCATGTAGGTTGCAAACCTCTCTGCAAACCTGTCCCTTTCGGGGCAGCTTTTTCTGCCCACTTGTGTCTATGCAAGTGTTTTTTCTCTCCTGTCTCTTTCTAATAAACTTCCTCTATAAATATAACTGAGTCTCTGTCTCGTGAAGAATCTCACCACGTGCCACTGAAAGGGGAGCTCTGGTGAAACCCTTCCCAGAGTCAACACAAGGACCTCGAACTCAAAAAGACGACATCACTTTGATTTATTTTGTTTGGGGATCCAAAACCCAAGTATTTATAAAATAACATTCAGGATAAAGGATAGTTAAGATCTATTCAAAACAAGGCCTCCCTGGAGGCCTAGGAGTTAAGCCTCAGTGCTATCATCTCTGTGACCTGAGCTCAATCCCAGCCAGAGAGCTGACCCACATGGTGCAGCAGACCTCTCCGGTCTCACCTGCTGCTCCCCTCAGCAGTGTATTTCAGTTGATTTACTTGCTCTGCTCCCCACTCTGTCTCTGGTGAATCCTTTGTCC